GTTAAATATATGCTCAATAAGCTCTGAACTGTTGGACCATAAATATGTGTAATTTAAAAAATGCACGACATATTGGAGAAGTAGCTAACAGGAATATATGCATGGAGGGCTTATTAGTTGGATCAGTGTCCTTACATTCGTAAGGATGAAACCTGCACAGACAAAATGCATGAAACAGACAAGAGCTGTTAGGTCTGCCTGCTTTTATTTACAGCCACCTGTGTCGCCATCCTCATTTTGTTTTTCGCGAGCGTGTTCTTTAGTGGCTAACTATGCCTACACCATTATCATCTGTGCTGTATCAGTCTAACTGAAAGTTTTGTGTGCGTGTTTGTTGGTACACTTTGGCTAAGCTTTCATATGTAACCACATCGCAAAACCCTACACCAAAATATACAGAAATATTCTATTCTATAATATTCCATGTGGCGCAGTACAATGGTGCAAGAATGCAAAAAGATGTGTGCAATTGAGTGTGGCTGTTCAATCCTTTATTAAAGCAGATCAATATTTCTATATCCTGATTATTTACGATATACTAGTATAAATATAAACAAACCTAGCAAGCCATAAAAAGCGCGAATCACTGATTAACAAGGTACATATAAATTCTTTGGTTAGCTGCACGATTTTTAACAAAACACGTCATGCCGCTGCAAAGCGCAGGCATCAAAGGCGTACTGATACAAAGTTTAAGTATTTTTCAATTGTTGCTTTAAATAGCGTATTTAATCGCATTAAAAACGCACCCCTATCTTCAGTCATTGAAATCTGGATTTTTTTTCTCCCGCGTAATAAACGCGCCCCATTTGTCCACTGCAGTCCCGCTAACTGATAACTGGCGCCTCTTTTACCGTTGATCTGCTTCGCTTTTATTATTGTTATTATTATGCCATTTCTTTCGCCCACCTCGGCACACCCAGCCCCCCCCCCCCCCCCCCCTTCGTTTTCTCACCCGCTGCCGAATGCCGTAAGGTTTATCTGCGCGGGGCACATCCCCCCGTTTTCTTTAACCATGCCCCAAAGCGAGGTTCACGAACACTGCGACTGTTGAGACATCGCAGCTGATAAGCAGGCAGCGAGCGGAGGTCACGAAGCTACCGACGCCATGAGACGGTTGCTTCCTGCAATTACGAGTATCGCGGGCAAATCGGGAGTTGGCAGGCAGGCACGCACTTCTGCACTTCGTTGTTCGCATACACGAAAGCTTACCTTTTCAGCAATAGCACGAAATCCAAAAGCGTTCTCCATGTAGCTCCCAGCGTACAGTCCGTTGATTGCTTGATCGGAAACGCTCTGCTTGCGGCGGGCACAAGCTTCAACGAAAGCCGTTGACAGAGGACACACACTCCGCCGCACCGAAGTTGTTCTGTACTAGCCGACACGCCACAGATTGCAGTGACACGTACTGTATCTACTGTAAGCACAAGTTAAACTGTGCAAGCCGTATAAGTACGCGTCCCTGACAAAGCAAGTGAATAGTAAAATAATAAACCACCGTCAGCCTGCAGCAAACACGCACACGACATGTTAGCACCCAATTCAAAGTCTGCCTGTTGACGATGGCGATGCGCAGTTGCCCCGAGACCTCAAAACCGAAACCGAAACTGAAACACATAGCATACCGTTTTATGATATAGTTTCCAAGCTATGTCAAGCCTCCAAGATATAGTGTAATATTTCATGCTTGACAACATATTTATTTGCTAGCAGAGCTTCACAGTCTTTTTGTTTGCCACTGACGTGTGCAGGTGGCAAATGCGTAGCCTTCGTAATGTACATTTTTTTTTCCCGGGTGAGGCGTTATTGTGGCGTTGTTTCGACATTTCGGAGTCAAAATTTGTTACTTGCGGAACATAGATATAAATAAAAAGTTAGGGAAGTGTGGCAGGAGGCTGTTCCATATTTGACACATCTCCCACCCTTTTTTATGTTCGTTTGAGGAGATATTTTTTAATTCAAAATGGGGCAAATCTAGAACCGAAACAAGCTCAACTAACGCTGCCTTGACATATACATACTATCAACGTTCTTCTAGAACAGTAATATTTATAAATAATGTTTTAATATTACTGTTTTAGAGGAAACGTGAACGTATGTATGAGCCAATTGAGTGTCATTTGAGCTACTTTCGGGTCAGGATTTGGCCCATTTCGCAAAAAAAAAAAAAAAAAAAGAAAGCTTGCGATTCGGATCCGCACGTATGCAACTACAGGCAAAAATTTACATACAAATTGCGCCAGGCCCCCTTTTTTCCTCTTTCTGTTCCCTTGCACGCATAAATCCTAGCAACACCCCTGCTGTGCTATTAGCTTCTTTTAAATAACACTCTGCCAATCAACAAGAACCGGGGGCTTTGCTTTTTTTACCGACAAAGTATGAAGGACGCTTGCTTTTATTTCAAGTCTTAAATTTTGTGTGAGCATACCAATGTGCGATTATCAGTGCATTGTAACGCGACAGTAACAACTGTCAATTACAATGCTGCATTTAGTCAACTACTCTCCATCGTTGTGGCACGGGTACATTGCGCTAGTGTTGTCTACGATCGTTCACGTGTATATTATACGACGCGCGAGCGTGCATTTCAAGTAAATATAAAAAGAGCACTAAGTGCCCACAGAGTGGTGCGACCCATTGGAAGAGTTCACCCGTGCTTAGCGTATGTGCGCCGAGCTTGTCCTGCGGCGCAGCATGCGTGCACAGCAGCTGCATCAGAGTAAGCTTAGCTTGTTAATTGCAAACATGCCTAGTTCCGTGGCAATGCGAATACTACAAACATTCAATTTGAACTGACCCATGTTCATAGATCTAAATATAACTCACTGAATAAATCAGGGACCCGTGTATTGATGCGAAGTACTTCAGTGTGAGGAAATATATGGACCCCCATTGTAAAAAAATTGGCCGCGTATTTCCATGTTTCTGCAAATGTCGTCAAAAGACGATAGTCTTGCGTGTGGAGAGAGTGAACAGGACATTTATTTGGTGTTCTGCGCAAGAAAGTCGGTGAGTGGTATTCTGTAGGCACTGCGTTTGAGTGCCTCGAGCGTACAGCTAAGGCGAAAAAGAACATCAAATCATGTCGCACGTGAGACATGAGCGCCATCTGGCAGTCTTCCTAGAAAACAAAGCGTGTGGCTTTGATAGGGTTGTGCCCACCCATCTCAGAGGTGATAAGGTGTAGAACGCAAGGCGACGGGTAGATTCCACCACCTTAGCAAAGCGTTGGAAACACTCCCTGTTCCGTGCAAGCATTGCATGGTCAGCGCAGCGTGATAAGCGCTACGGCCCTTAATATTACTAATGTATGCTTTTTCTAGTAAAAGACGCACATGCAGAATATATACGTGTTGTTATGGTGCCACAGACATGCGCAATCATGGCTTTTTAATTGACGATTGCACAAGCATGAACGCTCAATCTTGAGCAACACTGGTGGGTGCTGCAGATGAGGTCGGCCATTTCAAGTACCAGATGCCGTATAGAGTGGACAAACCGACAAATGTACAGACAGACAGACAGACAGACAGACAGACAGACAGACAGACAGACAGACAGACAGGCAGGCAGACAGACAGACAGGCAGGCAGGCAGGCAGGCAGGCAGGCAGGCAGGCAGGCAGGCAGGCAGGCAGGCAGGCAGGCAGACCAAAATCTTTGCGTTGAAGGTCCCCAAAAAAGACTATCCTCTTTACTAAATCAGGACCTCTGGTACAAAAAACTTAGTGTGATTTCAAATGAGAAAGCGCGCACGATAGCCTGTCGAAAGCCGTATGTAATCGTTTCATGTTATGTTTAAGTGCACCATAATCTCTTTTACTGATGTCTCTGTGAGGATTAGGGAAGAATGGACATAAGCAGCAGCAAAAGATTTTTAGTAGGAATCCCAAAAAGTTAACCCGTGAATTAAGTCATTGAACATGTGAGGAATCTGCTGAATATAATAAATAGGGGGTGGTTTAATAAATATAATACTTAGCACGATATGTTTTGGCGAATGAATTATGGGAAATGAAAACGAATGCCGCAACATCGATCTTTTCACCAGACTTTTGGCATGCGGTTTATTGCATCCGTTGAGATGTGATATGTATTGATGCTCTAAACTATATACATGTATGATAGGTGTAATGTTCAAGGAAACACCCTTGGGTGTAATGTGCTAACGTATACCTATAATACACCTAAAAATGAGAAATGGGCGTACAAAAGGTGGAATTGCAGAACTTACACTCATGCGGATAAGTTTGGCAGAAATAATAGGTGTAAGATGGGTGATTTATTCAAAAATCCACCCTTAAGGGTGTGAAATGATTTGCAGTGCAACTACTAACTCGTATTCGAAGGTACTGCATAAAGAAATGCTCCAAGAAAAGCACTGATTACGTGAGATATTAGGGTATTGAGATGTTAGGTAAAAGTAATTCTATGCACCTTTTCACAGGACGGTAAAAAACACCGCCATGATGGGCTGCGCGCGGGAGTACAAAGGCCAAGGGCGCAGCCTTGTCAGTGTGTTTTTGACGGGTCACGTCAATTTGCGCAGCCCAAAGAGGTCTACGGTGGCACCCAAGGAGGCGTTCCTGAAAAGGTCTATAGGCTAACGGACTCATGAATCGACTCACTTGAATTCGCTTAAACTCAGAATGAGTCGTGAGTTTCCGTCTGAGTGAGTCGCGTGAGTGATATTTTGGCGAGTTTTGAGTCCGAGTGAATCCTCAGCCCAAAATATATTTCGTGAGTAAGCCTGAGTGAGCTCCCCAATCTTGCCGATCTGTGGTTACCAGTGATCGTTCAATTTTAGTTCAACACGGCCATTTCAGAATTCAGACAGAAGGGGATAGACGGAGGAAGGGTGGGGTGGTGGAAGAGGGCTTGACATGTTGAAGGACGCATGCTGCTAGCCCACGGGTTACCGACCCCTTGCAATGAGGCTCCATCGGTAAGAGCGCATAAAGTGTGGTGCCGTATAAAGGCGTGACTACAGTGGATACTCACAGCTAAGTCGGCCTTTACCGCCGGAGTCGGCAATGCTTCTCCGATGGTCGGTTTCGGATCCTTGCTGAAGGCCTTCTGCGTGGCACCGCGCATCCACTCGAAGTGAAACATGCAGTCGATGCCGTGTTGTACCGCGTTAGTGCATATACGCGTAATGTCGGTCCTCAATGACCCTCCTTGACCCATCTTTGCCATCGCGTCCTTGATTGACGGAACACCAATAGCGTTGCCGATCCACGCCCATGTGACAGCTCCCGGACCTGAGGAAGAATCAGGGCGTGTACATAGTGTGCGTTCGGAATTCCGTTTCAGGTAGAAAAAAAAAACTGCCACAGATGCTCCAAACGTTGCCAAGTGACATTCTACATCGGTCAACTATGCGTTGCGTATGACACACGAGATTCATTTGAATTCACCTCAACACCTGTTGTGCCCGCGATTATAGCGCCGGTAGCACGTCGTAGCAACGGCGCACTGTCAGAGCTGATCGCAAAATCGATCCCGTAGAGCCGTAAAAATTTGCGCAGTGCGGTATGATTTTTTTTTTTTTTGCAGTCTGTGTATAATAGTTTCGGCCCCAATATAATGTGTCGCTTAATAATGAACCCGAGCCCAACATCAAGAACTCCATATTTATTCCACTGCTCGTGCCGAACCTCTTCTTCCTTCCCCTCTACGTCCTTGTTGCCACCCGTCCGCAGTCATCAGCAACAGTGCACACCGCCCTGTGGCACAATGTGCCAACGATATAGAGCAAGCTGCTGTACGGCGTCCATACTTCCGAATGGGTCCGCCAAGCAAGCTCGCATGGTAAAGCGAACTCAATGCTCGTAGCCTTATAGCATCAAAGCAACACGACTTTCGGCCACTCACGAGCCACTGTCATACATCCCACTCATCGTAAAAAACAGCGCGAAAAAAAACCGTGAAGAGACATAACAAACAGGACAAAGCGAGCGATGGAGGCAGGTATACGAGTTCATGGTGTCGTAGGAAACTAGTCAAGTTTATTACATATTGCAGTTTCGTTACATGTTTATAATAGTACAGGAGGAGGGTTCGAAGTTTCTCTCTCTCTCTCTCTCTCTCTCACACACACACACACACACACACATATATATATATATATATATATATATATATATATATATATATATATATGTATATATATATATATATATATATATATATATATATATATATATATATATATATATATATATGTGTATGTGTATATATATATTATTGTCTGGAGCTTAACGTCCCAAAACTACCAAATAATTATGAGAGAAGCCGTAAGGGAAGGCTCCGGAAGTTTCTACCACCTGGGGTTCTTCAACACGCACCTGAATCTAAATGCACGGGCCTCAAAAATGTTCGCCTCCACCGCAAATGCAGCTGCCACTGGCGGGATTCAATGCCACGGCCTTCTACTCGGCAATCGAGTGCCTTAGCCACTAGACCAGGGCGGGGCTCTGCCATGCTGAGGTGTGTCCAACCTGACATAGCTAGAGTTACTGTGTATGCTGCCTTCAGGTAAAGGTAGCACATACAGTAACTCGAAGGATAGCATATTCTGTGCGCTCCTCTGCGGTGGTCTAGTGGCTAAGATACTCGGCTGCTGACCCGCAGGTCGCGGGATCGAACCCCGGCTGCGGCGGCTCCATTTCTGTTGGCGGCGAAAATGCTGTAGGCCCGTGTGCTCAGATTCGAGTGCACGTTAAAGAACCCCAGCTGGTCGAAATTTCCGGGGCCCTCTACTACGGCGTCTGTCATAATCATATGGTGATGTTGGGATGTTTAACCCCACGTATCAATCAAATCAAGCATTTTCTGTGCGCGACGTTGGTAGCGAATATATATATATATATATATATATATATATATATATATATATATATATATATATATATATATATATATATATATATATATATATATATCCTGGAATGTGGTTTTGATCTTTAGTGACTCAACGAGGTCTTACTCGCTTATTTAACTACATAAATTCAAAGTTAAAAAGCATTCATTGAGTATTACGACGCTGCCTAATGCGAATTCTGAGAGCTTCGCGTTGGGGCAAATCAAACTGCGGTTGAAGCTTCGGCTTGCCACATAGCTATCGACTACGCCATAAATTATAATTTTTGTGAAGTAAGACAACACATAATACGCCATTATTCATCTTCCTGTGAATAAACGATACACTCGCTGCGCATATAAAAAAGGAATTGTGTGCGTTTTAATGCTGTAGGAGGCTGAGGATGAATTATGGCAGAATATATACATTGCAGTGGGTAGGAACCATGAAACCGCGCACTCATTGCGCCATTAGCATTTTGTGATGACTTGTCATTTCCTTCTTCGGCCACGATACGACGTAGCTTAACGCAATTTCTCGCCCAAAGTGACACCTGCATAGGGTCTTTTTGCGAATTAATTTTGGAGCACAACCATGGCTCTGTTGTAGAATACTCTACGGCTACGAAAGGGCAAGGGCTGAAATCCCGTTCGATTCTTGTTTTTTTTTTACTTTATTTTTGCATGTCTAGCGGTTACATCACAGATTTTGACGGCGACGCCGCTCGACGAAAACACCTTTACATGACTTACGCCTAGCTACGACTGATTCACATTCAGCGGCAGGGTGTGATCGAGCCCGAGTGTCATGGCACCTATAGGCCAATGATCGTTCTATTTTTAGATGCGAAGCAGTTCGCGGTCGGGGCATGTCCCTTGTCTGTCGTCGTAGACACGCTGGTACTCCGAGTGCCCGCTAGATCGCTCTATGGTAGAGCGCTCGCTCCACTGCGGGCGTGCTCTGGTGTGAGTGCAAACCGCTAGATGGCGCTACACTGCCGAGTATAATAAAAGCGCCTACTCCTCTCTTTCTTTTTTCTCACACACAGCGCAGTAGTATGAATGAAGACACGAGCACCAGTGCGGCGAAGACGCCACGCTGCGGTGGTCTAGTGGCTAAGGTACTCGGCTGCTGAGCCGCGGGTTCGAATCCCGGCTGCGGCGGCTGCATTTCTGATGGAGGCGGAAATGTAGGCCCGTGTGCTCAGATTTGGGCGCACATTAAGGAACCACAGGTGGTCAAAATCTCCGGAGCCCTCCACTACGGCGTCTCTCAAAATCATATGGTGGTTTTGAGACGTTAAACCCCACACATCAATCAAATCTTTGCACAACTTTAAGTCGACCCATGGATGCTTCTCACGTTACTTACGATTTTCTTTAAGTGGAGATGTGTGCGATTTTTTTTCTTTGTTCTTCGACAGCACCCCCCCCCCCCCCCGCATTTGCGGATCCACAGCGAAAGTAAAACAAAAAAACTCATTTGAGCATAAGTACCCCAACATGCACGTTCCTTCTCGTGCACCTTTACCCAACATTTCCAAGTCAGTGGGATCTTATATAGAAGCACAAGATCATTTTTTTTAATACCTCAGCTCATGCAAGCCGCGCCAACAACACGGCAGACTTTCGGATCCCCAGCGGCAAGAGCTACTACGGTGCGGAGGAGGAGCGGTCACTTTTTTGAAAAGGCCAAGTCACTTTTTTAATAGCCATAAAACTTAACGGCAGACCACCCTTGTCAGCGCAATCCTATTTGGACAAGGTTGATTGATTGATACGTGTTAACGTCCCAAAACCACCATATGATTATGAGAGACGCCATAGTGGAAGGCTCCGGAAATTTCGACCATCTGGGGTTCTGTAACGTGCCCCTGAATCTGAGCACACAGGCCTACAGCATTTTCGCCTCCATCGAAAATGCAGCAGCCGCCGCAGCCGGGATTCGATCGCGCGACCTGCGGGTCAGCTGTCGAGTAGCATTAGACCACCACGACGGGGCGATTTCGACAAGGTTGCCTCGATCGTTATCAACGCAAGTGCTCCCGAAACCATCGTATTTCTTGGTGTAACTTCGCAAAAAATCAGGCGCGAGAACAACAACAAGAACAAAAAAAAAGTTGAAAGCACAAACAGGCACAAACTGCGCCCGTTTTCTGGTTCTTCTTTTGTGTTCCCGCCTGTATTTGGAGCAGTTACCATCTAGCCAAACTTGCCATTCTTTCGCCATACTCCTCCCCACTCAGACGTGCACGAATGGCTATACCAAAAAAAAAAAAAAACGAGAAGCGTAAAAGATCCACCGGTCGCCTGAATTTCGCTTACCATTTTTGTCAGCGTCCGTGCAACCTCCGTAGTACTGAATGAGCGAGACGTATGGCGGTGGATTGTCGCCCCACATGGTGGCTGCCTTGTCTGCGAAAGCAACGAAACACGGTCAACCGAAGCGACGTGTTAACGACAACAACGACGGTAGCGACATCTCACAGTGCACTCAGGAAACCAACATACTGGGTCATGGCCTCCAAGATTGCGCGCGATCTCAGAGGCTTTGACTGGGTCATGGTAGGGCAACAGACCCGCGCGGGCGGAACACCCCTGTCCCGTTCGCAACCCTTAAATTCCGCGGAGCACGTGCTCCGTGGAACCTATAAGGTAGCTAACGTGGTTGCTTGGGAGACTCTGTTACGAAATTATTCACATAGAAACAGCGCCAATAACGAGGGACAAGAAAAGAAGGAGACAGACAGCGGCACTGACTTACAACAATATTTATTTGCTGGAACCGCGCAATATATACTTGAGCAGTATCTGACAAATAAGAGGAATGACACAACAAAGAAAACCGAATTCGCCTAACAACCGAGTGATCATCGTGATAACGTACCATGAACGTCACGCGTGCCAAGATTCTGAAGCGCGGTTCCCGCAAATAAACTGGTTGTCTCCTCCTTTTCTGGTCCCTCGTTATTGCCACTGTTCTTTATGTGAAGAACCTATAAGGGCTCCGCAGGCCCTTCTTTGCGGTTCCGCGAGCCACTGATAAGTTTTTACTGGTTCCGCCCTCGCCCATTGAACTCACTTAGATGGTGATCCCGAGGTGTGATCGATCTAGGGAACCTCCATTATTGACGCCCGACCGTCAATAAGCAGACATCTCAGTGTTTTTATTTTCGTATTGAAAATAAAAATGAAAAAAAGCTCGCCGGAGGGGGGGGGGGGGGGGGGTTGGCATTTAATGTAGCTTAGCATGGTTCCCTGGCACCAACATGTTTGGGAACCCCTATTATAGACCATAGAGATTGCTTATAAGAGCTATACGACTGTCACTTGCCGCCATCGCGTACGATATATCTAAGCTCGCGCGCGTGTACTTTCTTGCAGTTAGCGGTACTCTGCAATTAGTAAATACAAAATACCGCGCTCGTGAAAGGGCCCCTAAATTCCACTGAACCGCCTGGGGTGCTTTAACGTCCACATAAATCAACTATGAAAACTTTACTTAGATAATATATAACTACGCAGAAAATATATAATTGATGGAGTTTAACTATCCCTAAAATGATGGGGTTTAACTATCCCCAGCTTGTCAGTCCGAATTTTTAAAGAAAATTAAAAGCAAAATAAAACAAAAAAATCGCCGGCAGAAGGCAGCGTCGTTTTTTGCAAACGGCAGCATCCTCACTGTCCCTTCGTTAGGTATATATGACGCGATTAGGTTGCTTTTTTTTTTATACGTGGACCCAAACTTCAACAAAAATTTTACACTTCTGTGGAAGGGCCTCACGCCATTGAAATCGCGGGAAAAAAGTGCGGCCCTTATACACGTGCATACGTAACAAGACCTCGTTAATTAACTTCAATTACCGGCTTCAAGATAGCTGTTTATGCTGTAGTGTTTTAGGACTCCACAATTGATGGAATATTCATGTTTGTAGAAATCATAAACGTTACAGTGGTGAACTGGTGATTCACTTGGTGAACGTGGGTGACACGCATGTGAGTGGATGATCACCCTGTTTTCGTAGCTCGTACAATGTCTCTCCTCTTAGGATCATCCTACGTGTTCCGAGGGAGTGCACAAATATCAGTTTCCACGGGAACGCTTACCCCCGGTCCCAGAGTGTCGTACCGTTATTTGAAAACAGCAAGCGAATTGACAGAAGAGGTACACCCTGGAGGATAACAGCCGCTTCGCCACCCAGCTGGCTCAGCTGAACTTGGCAAGCGAGGTAGCTTGGGCTGATACACGGACCCACTGAAAGTTAGTAGTCCCCGGCATAAAACACTTTTGTGTTATATCTTGGGGCAGCGCTTGTAAACACGGACTAAAGGAAGGCACACGGACACACCGACGGAAGCGCTCCAGAAACTGGTTTTTATGTGTTGAGAATTCGACGTATCGCTTGGTTGACCGCGAGACAATTGCAGGGCGCTGAGGAATTGAGGATACCACTTCTTCCTTTGACAATGAAATCGATGGTATGCTGACACATTTCACCCTTTTGGTGACTATGTTTTTTTTTTCCTTTTGCTTCTATGATTTCCCAAGTTAACTTATCTTTGTGGCGCCTGTGTATTCTGCATTTCAAATAAACAGGTGAACAACCACAATCATTTCAGTGTGTGGGCAGGTCCCTCATCTTTGCACTGAGCAACGTTTTGTTTGTGCTCCTGTAAGCTATCATTGATACATTTCCCGCCACGAGTCCACTCTATAACAAGCTCTATACCAAGCCTTCTGTGCATGACACGAAAGGATTTGGCGTCTTTGGCACCCTTTCGTCTTTTCAATAACAGGGTCACTCTGCTTACACAGGTGGCTAAGCTTATCGGGTGACGAAAAAAACCACCTTTACGCCAATCTGACCTGCTGCTTTTTTCAGCGCATGCGAGACCTTGTGTATGCACCGGATGACTGTCTCCTTTTTTCCTGGATGCTGTGGCATGTTCAACATCAGGGTGACGCACTTCCGTGAGCACAACGCTCCAAACTGAGACGGGCACCTACGTTGGGCATCCTACCATATATATGTCCAGCCGTGCTGGTTGTTCTTGCAGGCTGGTTTTAATTGTGTGAACACAAGCAGATATTTAGTGAGGGAATGAATGACCGAAAGTGAGAGAACTAGTGGGTGAAATAGTGGGTGAGGGAATGGGTGAGTGAGAGAGCTAGTGAGCGAGTGAGTGAAAACGAATGAGATTGAGTGAATGTGATAGTGAATGGGTATAAGTGAGAGCGAACGAGTTAGAACGAGCCAGTGAGAGTGAGTGAGTCAGAGTCAGTGAGTGAGCGAAAGTAAATGACATCGAGTGAGTGAGAGTGAATGGGTGAGAGTAAACGAGTGAGAGCGAGCCAGTGAGCGAGTGGGAGAGCGAGAAGCCAACATCTGAGACCTACCAACACTTATGGCAAGGGTTTCACAACGTGCCCCCTCATGCGTACGTACTCATGAAATTCTTGTCCTTCTTCAAGACATTCTTGACGTCGAAAAGCGGTGCCGCTTTGCATACGGAGGTGAAGTAGTCATCACAGGGTTTCGCATCGCGGACTGCTTTTGTTGTTAGCGCTGAAAACAGAAAAACAACGCAGTTTAGCGGTACCAAACAAACCTTGCTTACCTATATAATGCATAATTGATGGAGTTCAATGTCCAAGAGCCACAACATGATTATGAAAGACGTCGTAGTGGAGAGCTCCCAAAATTTTCACCGCCTGGGGTCCTTTACCGTCCACCTAAATCAACTATCAAAACTACACTTAGATAATATATAACTACGCAGAAAATATATAATTGGTGGGGTTTAACTCTCCCCCCCCCCCCAAAAAAAAAAACGAAGATTATGGGACGCCATACTGAATTCGGAAACTTCGATCAAGTGAGCTTTATTAACGCACACCTAAATCTAAGTAGACGAAACTTAAGCATTTTTGAATCAACGGCTTTTCTAATAAGGTTGTTTACTACTACTATACTGTCTCCATCGAAAATGCGAATTCGATCCCGGGACCTGCGGGTCAGCAGTTGAGCGCCATAACCACTGCAGGAAACCGTGGCCCTGGCTGTGTTTAAGTAAATAGAACTCTCTTTACTACTACACGCCAGCGTACCAGCCACCATGCATGATACTTATCCCTGGGAGTTTTCGCCATTGCGGCCCCCAAAAACTTCACTTCCCCATTGACATATATGACGGTTAGTTCCTATAAAGCTTTGGAAGGGTTATCAAAAGTGTCACCTGATCGTTTGATGTTGGATATCGGAATTCGTAATCTTATTTTCAAAGCTCAGTGCCGATTGTGCCGAAAAGTCCACATCGAAGGATCAATGAATACATAGGGGGCTCGGCTTCTGACCCGAAAGTCGCGAGTTCAATCCCTGTTGCGGCGGTCACATGCCGATGGAGGAAAAATGTTAGAGATTCGTGTACTGTGCTACAGTGCACTAGACTAGTACACTCTAACTGTGCGATGTCCGCGTACGTTAAAGATCGCCAGGTGGTCAAGTTTCGTAGCCCTCCACTATACGGCGTCTCTGATAATCAATCAAGTCTTGGTGTTGGGACGTGAAACCCCGTGATTAATCATCTAGAAATTACATGAAAGCAAGTCGACTCTATTTTGACTAAAAAAGTGACGACATATGCATGTTACGCACTGTATCTCGACATATTCATTACATTCCTAGAGTACTTGGCTAGTGAGATAAACTATTTCGCTAATGCGATAAAAATACATCCTTGAAATGTGTGTCAATGCACGTAATACAGATCCTTAAGGGACACTAAAGTGATATAACAATTTACGTCAGTGTGAAAGCTCAATGTATTACAACATCTAAAACAGCAATATTATCAACAACAGTGCTATATTTACCGAGAAATTAAGGTGAATGCACAAAAACACAAGCGCCGTGGTAGGACATTTTCAAAATGATCTTGATGACATCAAACGAACCGCCTACCATAATCTCTAGTAATCGATCTAACTGCACTAAAAAAAGAACCTGCCGTGCATCAAGAAACGCAATAAAATGCTACTTGTTCATTTCCGTTTGCTTCATGAAAAAAAAAATAACCGCCGGACGTTGGTATGAAGAATGAAATGAGTGTTTCAAAAATTCAATTTTCGCGTAGTTACACGGGACATGTGGTGCCATCTAGCGGGGCGCAGTTGAAACAAAAGTCTGCAATCTCGAAGCCAAGGCGGGGTAAATGATCAATGGCCGTTGCTGCTGTGGCTACCGCTGTTTTCGATCTGCTGCTACTAGCGCAGTAAAGCCGGGCAACGTTGTGCATGGCAAAGGTTACGTGAGCCGGTCCGGTCGGTCCGCCTCTTGAGGCGGGTAATTCGATGTGCGCTAACCCGAAGCGGTCCACTAAAACGTGATTTTATTTCAAAATAGGCTCTTCCTTGGAACAAAAGTAACACTACGAGGTTTCTGGACTACCATTTCAACAATCAACTTCGTCTTAATGTTTGACTTTAGAGTCCCCTTAATTATACTCCACTTTATCTCCAAGATACATAAACAAAAGCGCGTGGTTGGGACCCGCTCGACCACGTTACGTAACCATCCCAGCTGTTCTGTTATTGTACATAAATGAGGCATATACAGTAGCTCTACAGCAGCTCCAACTATCCTGGATGAAATTTAATTAAGGCTGCTAACAAGAAAACAGTCCGCTCCGTATCGATGTATACTTACTGCACCTAGGCTCTTTAAAAAAAAAAATTCTTGTCAATTCAATAGGTCATTACGCGGTGGTTGAACGTTGCGTCCCCGAATATGTCGAGAGAAACGCCACTTGCTTCTCACAAAATTAGCCGAGCCAGTTTTTTTTAAAACTGCCACTACGAAATTCTAGCTCAGTTCAAGTATAGCAGACATCGATGGCTGCCGATGAAGTTTAAAGCTATATGAAAGCGAACACTCGAAAGAGTACATCCCGAAAATTGTTTCTCTGGACGCTTCTTCACGGGACAGTCTAATGAACTTTCTCTGTATTTCCGTTGTCTCGGACGCACACCACCTCGAAAGGCTCCACGCGTCAGGGTAGACTAGTGCCTGCGGTGTTACGATGCTGACCCGAGGTCACGGGATCGAATCCCAGCCGCGGCGGACGCGTGCCTTATGTGCACGTTAAAGAACCAGATTGCCTAATTTGCGGAGCCCCCCACTGCTATGTTGTTCATAATCATACGGTCATTTTATAACGTTAAATCCCAACAATTGTTATTATCTAAACAAGCAGTCACGCTCCAAACTTGTTTTAGTCCTGGCTTCTCATGTATGTGAATCCCTCTGAAGAGACATATGAAGCATCTCCGGAGAGCATTCTACTCTTTTTAAAAAGTCGTGCGACCCACAAGAGAGGACTCAACGTCTTTCTAGGAGTCGTACGTGGCACTCCGGAAAGAGTAACACATACTCTTTTGTTTGTCCTCGTGTTTTGGTGTATGAGATATAGGGCGGAAATCGGTACGTAAAATGACGAAGTATATAGGTCGAAAGGGCGTCCTTGTACGTCATGCCTCGCCCCTGTCATATTATATTACAGCAACACAGCCCGACAAGATCTCCAGCGGACTATGACGTCTCTCACAATCATATCGTGTTTTGGGACAAAACATCCGACCAATTATTTCACTAAGAACTCCAGCGCACGCATATTGCAAAGCCAACTTACCTAAGGCATCGCATGCCTTGCTTCTGCAGTAGAAGGCGTTTTTGTACTCTGAAAGGAGAATAAAGCAGCGATTGTGTAATGAACTCGACGTTCACGCGCTTACAGTCGAATTTTCGTCTCAGCTGGTGCCCTAAAATCAGCGAGCTTCGAAACCTTCGTTGCCACATTTTTTTCCGTACTACGCGTGTTTGATGAAAAGCCTTCCCTTTTGATGAAAAGCGCTTTGCTGTGCCTCGTTGTTGCAACCTACTACACAAATCTCTTTTTGTTATTTACAAAGTGAGTGATCTCGCACTGTGCGTCTTATATAGGAGTGCTCCCCAAAAATCTGTCCCCATGCAGAACCCAAGCGATCCGCGAAGCCTTTTCTGAAGCTCCAACGACCATAGGTTGGCAAAATAAAGCGGAGTTCGCTCAGAATCACTTAAATAGATCTTGCACTTTGGGCTCGATTGGACTCAGACTCACCAAGAGTTTCCTAAGCAGGACTCATTCAGACTCGCACTCACAAACATTTTCTTCAGCATGGACTCACTTGGACTCAATCTCACCGAAATATTACCCCCCCCCCCCCCCCCCGGACTCACGGATTGATCTGAGTATCTGAGTGGGTCATGAGCGAGTTAACCAACCAATTTACACGATACACATCAGAACGCGAATTTGTAGGCACACTTATGTTCTGTGACAGTGGCCTTCTCTGGCTCTATGTATGCTTCAGCGCATAACCATCACGCATTGCGGCAGAGCTGTTTTGTGTCACTCCTTCTCCGTAAGAAGGCTGTAAACATTTGTTGCAGTTTTCGACGACATGTGAACGCGAGGATGCCTTTTTCCAGGCTGGAAGTGGCTGTACAACTAATCGACAAGCTGTTGAGATCAAATTGGCTTGGCACTTTGAGCACAACGCGTCGGTGAGCCTACCGCGTGTTCACGTGGGAGGCTCCCCGACGCGCTGTGCTCCGAGGCAGCATTGAAGTTGGAAGTTTATTTTATTTCTTTCTGATACAGAAAGAGGAGTAAGAGCTAAAGGCCGTATTGCCTGACAGAGGCTCTCACTCCCATGCGCATTCGGCATGCGTGTACATGCTTGCATGCGATGCGAGTATACAAACAATAGAGCAACCAGAAAAATCAAAACATGCATTTACATAATTGTCACTGCAAATGAAGCATTACAGGTAGACATCATACATGAAAACTCTTCATGAAAACAAACATATCTTACAGACACTCCAAGAATATATACCTATACGCATTAAATTGTGAATTTTCACATTGTAGCGCAAACTGTATATGCGGTACACGTAGAAAATTAGACAGATATATTTTATTGATAAGTTATCGTGGAATGTAACAGAAAGTTCTTTATAAATTTTGGCAGCTTCTGTGCCAGTTGCAGTAGCCGGGTGACGCGTGGCAACCTCAGCGTCTGCACTGGACCATATTAAAGTTGTTCTTACTCACGTGATCAAACAAGTGCAGTTTGGGCTCGGCGGGGCCTGAGTGCAGCGACATCGCTACAAGCGCCTCGGTATGCCGACGGCGTCCGCTACAACCAGTGGCATATACGTCGGGTCTGTACCTGACGTCACACAGATTTCGCAGCTGCTCCCGTTGCCATTGTCCGCTAAAATAAGCTGACCATTGACCATACCTGCGCGCCTGATTGGCTCAGTGGTTTGCGACAGCAGTCGCGCGACTAAAAAAATGAGCAGCGAGTGATTGAGCGCAAACAGTCGCTTCGTGACTAAAACGGCCATTGGCGACCGTTTGCGACTGACTTGCTTAACTTGGTGGCATGACCGGCACTATAGTCGCAAGCGTGAAAGAGCCTTAAGCCAGTATTGACAAACCTACCTAATCTTCATCTCCCATTTTTCTTTTCAATATCGTACCATCCGTGCACTTGATAAACTGAGTATACTGGCGTTCCCAACCCAATCTTATAGTTATCCTTTACCCTGTTACCATTAATGTGTTCATATACCACATGCATTCACCGATCAACCTAACCCTTATCTCGCATTTTTTTTCATCGGTTTTGAGCCTCAAGTTCACTTTATAAACCTAAGTATAGGCTGGTATTCCCAGGCCAATTTTGTTATATTTTACCCTGTTAACGCATTTGTGCCCTTATAACACATGTACAGTGTACGGACATTTTAAGAAACATAAGGTAAGGATAAGGTTGGTTTTTCAATACGGGCCTTAAATTAGGCGGAAGTCACCTTTGTCTTCTTTCCCGCAGATATTTACCTGAAATGGACTTGACGTAGAACACAGTTGGGAGACAGACAAGTAGGAACATCACCAGCGGTATTGACCCGACGATGAGCCAGTAGTTCGAAAGCTTCTTCATGATGCCCCTGCAATAGGATTCACAGAGCGTGAGCAGACCGGCACACTTGAGTAACGCCCGTAACGTTCAGACGATGTGAAGAGGACTTCGCAAGGGGCAGCATCAAGTTGCAGTAACCATGACCCTAAGCACCAGAACGTCATTGTAACTTGTTCTTGGACTGCCATATTATGACCCGAAGGTGGCGGGATGGAATCATGGTCGTCGAGGCCTTATATCGTTGGAGGCGAAGGAGTAGAGGTCCGTGTACTTCGATTTAGGGGCTCGTTAAAGAACCCAAGCTCGGGAATTCCGGAGTCCTCCAATACTTATGATCACATCATGGTTTTGGAAAGTAGAAGGCCAACAATCTTCATATCTAAAAGGTCTAGTTTATACAGTGACAATTGATAGAGCTGTACATTACGTTTGGTAAAGTTAACATGGGAAGTCTGACGCTGGTTTTCATATGGCAAACGAGAAACTTGCGCTCGGTATGCCGCCATCGAGACAAATGTAATTGCGATCGTAACAAGTGGCTTATGGATGGGATGATATAATATGGGTTTTGTTTGACATTCAGCAGTACTTGGTTAGCATTGAACAGGTGTTCATTGCATAGAACGAGTGAGGATACGTTAGCGGACGAAAAGTAAGTCGCAAATGCATATACTAAGTCAGGTATCTTAGGAGTATTCACAATATGATTTATATACAGCAGAAAAAAAAAGGCGCGATCTAAAATGGACGCCTGGCGTACACTATATAAGTAAGTCATTGGTTTTGAAGGTAACTGAGCTAATCAACTAGACGATTCTCGAGCTCCATATTGTGGTATCTTTTAGAATAGATACATTAATAGAAACGGAGGCTTTACTGAAGTCTAGAGATATTACTATCTTATCGTATTGGCTTGGCACACTGTGAGCAATCTTCTCTCGTATGACCTAGCTCGGAGGTTTTACTTTTTTGAAAGTCATATTGATTCGCCGACAACAAGGCAATAAGCTTTGACTCTAAAGCATTTTCATTTAGTACCTGGCCTGTAGAAAACCGGCAGTTTGAAAATAGTTCCATGGCTGCTGATGCGATCACCTGCAGCGCATTTATGCAGGGCATAGTCCTTACCTATGGTCATTTCACACGGAATAACTAAAACGTAATTAACCGTAATGATGACTTCTCGCGCGCAGCCCTATAAACGCGAGGACACGGAATCAATTCGCGGACACGGCGGCTTCGGTGGCACACGTGCAGCGGTACACAGTGGCTGCTGGACCCGAAGGTTACGGGTTCGATCCCTGCGCGGCTGTCGCATTTCGGTGGAGGTAATATGCAATATAGACGTTCGTGTACTTTAGCATTTCCTCGCGGCGAAGAACGCTGCTCTGCAGAAAGCCGAAACGTCTCTTTCCAACGGCCAGTTTTGCATTTTAATATATACGCTCCCGGACGAGCAAAGGCTAACAGAAATACTTACTTCAGAGAAAGTACAGTTCCTTTGCTTTCCTACTGATAAAGGGGAGATGAATGCTTGATGTCCGTGTGCTTAGATTTATGAGCACGTTAAAGATTCCCATGTGCTCGAAATTTGCGGAGCCCTCTATAGATGAGTCTCGAAACAATGTCGTGGTTTCGGGTCGTTTAACCCCAACAAATATAAAAGGAGTAAAGTATCCATATATTTAAAAATTCGTTACTGAGGTAGCTTGTTCATAAACTTGAATAAAAGTACTTTGACTTGAATACAAGATATTACGGATTTAGCACAGGACAGAGAAATAAAACTAATGTTTAGGTTTTGCCTCCGTCCTGTGCATCCTTCTCTGTACTGCTTCGAATCCGTGCAATTCGGCATTGAAGATTATGTATCTTCAAAACGTCATTCGCCGAACTGAGTATCGCGTGTCCCGTGCAACATTTGATTTCCGTGCAACACATGTGAACTCCTTTCTGTGGCGATCAACATTCACTCCCGTTAACTCTTGCATCTCGCAAAGGTGCTTATCATATAAAACTGCACGTTATTATCATATCTGAAACTCACTCTAACTCGCCACGGTGGTCTAGTGGCTAAGGCACTCGGCTGCTGACCCGCAGGTCGCGGTATCGAATCCCGGCACTGGCAGCCGCATTTCAGATAGAGGCGAAAATGCTTGAGATTCGCGTGCTTAGATTTAGGTGCACGTTAAAGAAGCCCAGGCGGTCGAAATTTTCGGAGCCCTCCTCTACTGCGTCTCTCGTTATCACGTGGTGGTTACGGGACGTCAAACCCCAAATTTTATTGAGAAACTCACTCTGCAGTTGGGGCGGCACCTGCAGCAGCAGGGGGTGCGCCGGGATCAGGAGCCGACGACACGCCGGACGCCACTGACTCGTCCCCCATCTTGTCTCTTCGGTGGTCCGCTGCTGCCGCACGATATTGTCGCCTTCACCGAGAGGGGCGGCAGGCCGAGCCCTGCAGGTGGCGGCGAAGCAGGTTTATCGCGCTAATCGTCAGCCATTGTCACACTCGCTATGGAAAAAAACCTGCACCATCCCTGTAGCTTTAGTCCCCGCAAGAAATATCGTCATATAGCTTGGTAGCGTTCTCGCCCCGTCGCGGTGGTCTAGTGGCTAAGGTACTCGGCTGCTGACCCGCAGGGCGCGGATTCGAATCCCGGCTGCGGCGGCTGCATTTCCGATGGAGGCGGAAACGTTGTAGGCCCGTTTGCTCAGATTTGGGTGCACGTTAAAGAACCCCAGGTGGTCTAAATTTCCGGAGCCCTCCACTACGTCGTCTCTCATAATTATATCGTGGTTTTGGGACGTTAAACCCCACAAATCAATCAATCGATGGACAAGGAAGGACGACGCGCGTACAGTGGCACAGCGCTGAACATGGCGACCCTTTTTTGCCCTCCTTTTTTATCGGGCTGTATTGCTTCCTATATTCCACCGACACACCTAAGCTCCTATATGTCTATATGAACTGCACTCCGTGCACTCAGGCGCGCGTAGCTGTACGCTATGTGGTGCCTGATCGTTCACAAAAGACGAGCCGGATACGCCATCGGCCGCGTGATACGAGGGAAGGCGCGACGTTTCGCGGCTCACCTTCACTGATGCTACAGTGTCCGGGCGCAGACACGGCTGTCCTGGACACAAGCGGCACAGCTCGAGACGCCTGGATGCCCGAGCCGTTCTTCAGCGTCGGGTCGCCGCTCAGCTCGGCTCGAGGTCCGCGAGACTGCGCAAGGACTTCGTCTTCATTCACCCGCTGAAACGGCATGTCGCTCAAGAGCGAAGAAACGGGCCATTTCTTCGATTAATGATAATTCCTATTCATAAACATAATCTCTTCCAGGAGAAAAAAAAATACACATTTCAACAAAGCATCGGAGGCGTTGTTCGAAGGTTGCAGGCTTAGTCCAATGCGTCGGCAAGTTATCTGTTCGTCCACATTTCTTTCTTCCCAATTACATTACAATTACTTCTAATGACATCCCCTATACTTTCCCTGGCATTATTGTCTGTTAGTTCTCATTAATATTGTGTCTAACAAAAAAAAACGAGCTCGTACATACACACTTCTTACCAACAATTTTATGTCATTTAGTTTGCACTTCTTCCATGGTAACACACAGTCCATTTCAGCTGTGGGGAGAAAATTAATTTGTAATTAGAAAACGATGTGACATAAGGCGTAATTGCATCTTCGGCATCCACGAAGTGAATGATGATGAATGGGCGAAGCAGTGGGGTCATTCGGTGTTACCGAAAATCACCCGCGACATTAACCTTTCACGCACGTAAATGAGTGCCAAGTGGGGTACAGTTATATAGAATGTTTATTGGCCAAGATTGGTATGCCATGTTGAGTTGTGAATTCCGTTAAGCATTCAATAACACCTCTTAGTGGTATCGAATATAGCCTCAAGTTCGCAAATCCGAAGTCTGGGCACGTTCGTTAGTTTGTTTGTAGCCTAGATTCCATGGCTCATACCCACTCTGGGGGATTGGCCAAAAAAAAACATAGTCTCACACAGACGATAACTGCACTATTGCTTCTCCTGGTGGTTGTTGGTTACTTCCAGTCGTACCGAAATGCACCGTAGAACACATCGAGACGCCATCTACTGCGCAAGCCCATCGTTGTCTGGGATCACCATCTTGGTGCATCATCAGCGTCATCGTCATGACGTATGGTGGGTACCTTGCATGTACTGGGCCGTGATGGCAGAAAGAGAACGAGCTTGTTATTCATCGTCATAAACATAATCCAATGGACAAGACTCGACCACAACGAGCTTCGCCCTCTAAAAATTGGGACAGCTACGCACAAATGATGTGCCTCCTGAGGAAGCAGCGGAGTAGGTGGCGTTCGCCTCCTCGTCCGCACCATGCAGTGTTGCAGTGGGTATACGGTGCTCGACTGCTCAGCCGAAGGTCGCGTGTTCGATCCCTGTCGGGGCGGTCGCATTTCGATGGAGGTCAAATGATAGGGGCCCTGTACTGGGCGATGTCAGCGAATGTTGAAGAACACCAGGTGGTCGAAATTTCCGGAACCTTCAACTATACCGCGTCTCTCATAATCATGTCGCGCTTTTGGGACGTGAAACCCCACGTACCGCCTCCTCTTTTCCCTATACTCGTCCTCGCTTCCCTTTTGTACACCCTTGCTACATTGCTATGCTGTCTTTTACTCTCTCTTTTCCTCCTCTTTCCCCTTGTGGCCCCCTTCACATCCCTTTGCCATTCCTTGCTATACAAGACTATGCTTTACTCTCTCCCCTCCTCCTTTTTCTTCTCGTGACCCCCCCCCCCCCCCCCCCTTGCGCTAGAAGGCTATTCTATGCTCCGCTAGCGTGCCTGGACAACAGAGTGATTACGTCGCTCGCCTTGATATGGTATATAGGTACGCCATAGGTTCTACTCCCGCGTCGTCATAAAATTTGTTCGCCAGAAATTTCTATTCCCCATAGTTTGTTCTCTCTTTCTTTGTTCTCATTCTCTGGCTCATCAGCGTTGTTGCATACCACGCCGAACAAATCGGCGCACGTGTTCTGGGGGGAAGCAAAGTACGAAGAAGAGGACGAAGAGCGAGTGCTGGTTCATGATGACGGTAGTAAAATCAATGTATTGTTTGTCCAGGGGACCGTTTTGAAAAGCATTATATGCATCTCATCAATCGCGCGGTGCGTGACTGAGCAGCCTTGCTTCAGACTAGTAATGTCAGCGATTCGGTGCCTCAGCCGATATCGTGTTGTCTTCTTGTCCGGGCCTTCTTTACAGACGGTTCGTAACGACATTTTTCTTCTTCTTGCCGTGGTGTGCGGCTTAATTAGTAGACTCTAGCAACTGTGGCTCATACCCACGCTGGAGAATTGACCGAGAACGGGTTAGTTTCTGAAGGGCATTATGAAATTAAAGTTCAAATATTGATTAATTAAGACAGGAGACATATAAGTCAATATATATTCAGAATAGAATGAAAAATAGAATAGATTTGAAACAATGAATCCGAAAATCTCATGGAAAAAACGAACTTGAAAAAAAAAGTAGGTTTAATAACCTAAATATTAAGAAATTACTGTAATGCATTAGCCATTTTCCCGTCACTGTGGCCCCGAGAAAAGGCCACTAAAGGCAGTAAATTTTGTCATTGAAATCTTACCCAAAGAGACGGTCGTTCTAAGCTGCTCAGCCTGAGTGTGATGGTTCAGTTTCAAACCACGGCTTCCCCCATCCCTCCCCACGCCACATGCCTCCTTATCATATCGTTGTTTCAGCGTTTCGAATCCTGAACATTATTCAAGCTGTGTGTGATAGCGTTTCTAGTGTTATGAAAGATTTACTATCTGATTCTAACTCGGAAGGTGTTATTGTCGCTCAAACTCAAAATTCTTGCGTTGCGCGTCAAAATTGAGTTTCCGGGTAACTTTCTGTCGTTCGTTAAGCCCATATGATTTAAAAAATATATCAAACGACATCTATCTACCTTAGCCAAACTCCGATAATGCTCTCGACAACGCCACCGGTAATGGCAAACCGCCCACTGCCGCCCGCTTACACCCGAGATTTTCTTTTTCCTTTGCTTCCGACATCCGCCGCGCGTGGCGTCGTTGTAGTGACACGCGCAGCGACTGCCCCATTTGTTCTTCAGACGTTATGGCAGTTGCTGGCGGTTGATTCAAGTTCGCATCCGATTTTGAACGGGTTTTAGTGTAGCTTCATTTTCTTCTCCCGGCTTGCCTACTCGAAACACATGTAGACATGGGACAGTACCTGAGCAGGTCTGTTGGCGAAAACAGCGGTATGCCCGCGCAGAGCACCCCGTTGCCTGTGCGAAGGCATGCCCGAATGCTGACTCTCTCGGAATTAGACCCCCGATCTCCCACCACCGAGATTATGAGAACCCCGATACAGGTAAGCGAATCATTTTTGCTGACTTCCTTGTGCATCATAGATAGACCGGCGAAACACTGTCTTATATCTGACGCCACTCGCTCACGCCTATTTCACTTGACCGCCACTTTTCTACGGGTCATAATGGCGGTAATTGCGGTAGTCGGCTTCGCATTTCCGTGAAAATTTGAACTGCGCTAAGTGTTCTCGCTAGTGCCTTGAAACCGCTCATCACCCATCGCCCTTCGTTGCCTCTGAGAGCTTCTCTTTTTGAACATAACCTACGTGCCGTTCACAACCGAACGCAACAGTATTGCCGAGCGCGTTACATTTCGCGGTTCGTTTACAGCCTCGCAGGATAACTTGCCCAGCGACTCGGATTGTTCTTGGGCAGGTGCTCCGCCTGGCTAAAATAAAATGCGCGTTTCAGGCGTCATGTCCTATGAAACCGTTGCATTGCGTGCGACGGGAGGTTAAAAATAGATCGGCGTTTTCGCGTAACTGGTGTGATGAATCGATGCGCAGTAGCATAGCTATGCTTACACGTCATCACCATCTTACAGTCCACCTTCCGCGCATTGAATTTCATAACAAGAACAATTAGTCTGACCCTTTCGTCTGCACGTTAAACTTAATGTTGTTTGCTTTCTACATTTTGCATTGTGTAGCGTTTTTCTTGTTTCTGTTCGGCAGGATGAATGCTGCGGTGTATTATATCGTAACCGTTGACATCGAAAAATATTACCGGCGAATTATTGCGCTTAGTTATGGGTTCGCGCTGAGCATCCGTGGTCTACAAACTTTATGAAGAATGTGGATGTGTCCTTGTCATGGTAGAGGCGTGAAACAACTGAGTGGTTGCCTTGCGGAGCGATGAATAGGACGGTATTCCATCATAGTCATTGAAAAGTGTGATGCGTCCATTGCCCTTTCCAATGACGCTGGTTTGAATTTTGGTATTTTTTGCGCTCACACACGCGCAAGAAATGGTTTACACAGCCTGTCAAACTGCCACTTTCCGGCGATATCATCTTGTGCCATTTTTGGGTTTACCAACTTTTTAGAGAGCATGTTTAGTGTGTTCCTGTGCTATAGCGCCGCCCTACAGATGAAGCAATTCTACCTTATTAATGGTGGCGTTGCATTCAAATTTATTCATGCCCACATGATTGACTAATTGAGCACAGTGCATTAATTAAGAAGTTCCGAATTTGAGGCAGTCGACAACAGTTGGAGATAAAAAAGCAGTGTGAAATACACATGGACAAGAAAGTAGCCCAGGACAGTGGTTTTTCTGCGTTTTTTTTATTTCCATGTCAATGCTTGTTTTTGTGCCCTCTGTCATTCACATTGCACCAAAACACAGACAGCTCCCAGCATATTCATTCCCAAAATTAAGGTGACTTTTTTGTAACTTATTTCCTGCGACACTGAGGGAGCCTACTTAGGCTTTCTGAAAGCATGCATGAAAGACAGTGTTGTGTGTCTGTTGTCCAAAATGCAATTCAAGGCTTCACAATTGTGAAAATTTAAGATTTTGTTGTACAACATTCACAGAACTTCTAGTATCTGCAAAATTTTCTTCACTGTGTTGTCTGCCAGTGATGTTTTATATTGTCACATTGACAACCTTTGGCAACAACTGTTAGTAGCTAAACAAAAGCATGCTTGTATCATTGTTTTTCCCATGCTTCAGTAAAGAAGTAGCCACTTTTCAGCGTTAAAAGGGGAAACAAAAGTTTTGAATTATTATTCTCCAGAAAACATGCTGTACAGTATATACCCATATTACCTTCATAGCAGCTTTTATTATGCAGTTAGCACCTCTTTGTTTTCGTTTTTCTTTTCTCCGTAGATGGAGGAATCTGTGACACCCGACTATTTGACACAGGAAGGTGTTGACATCGACCCAAGGTCTCCCACAACTGCATTCCAGCGCACTCCGATACCACTCGGAGTGATGATCAAAAGGAAAGTGGATGCGGAAAGCCCGATGGCTGTGTGCTACGAGAAGAGACGTGTTTCTGAGAATGCCTCGCATAGTCCAGGCACAGTGAAACGCAAAGGTTTGTGTGTTCTCTTGTCACCTTCGTAATGTCATCAGTGATACAGTTGACAAGAGATACGAAAAGATACAATTGACCGTGATCTCTTTGCAACGTTGACAAGCTTATGCTACGTTTCTTATACACATGTTGCATATACTGTGCAAGGGCAGACGTGCAGCTTTAGTCTCTCTTTGTTGGCAATAATGCTGACCTCGAAATGTAGCCAAACACAGCGTTGAGTCATACGAGTTTCAGAACTCTTCATAAACCCCATGTATCAAATCATGAAACACCATTAACCGAAATCACAAAGGTTTGCAGATAGTCACCCCACCTGTTCACCAAAAAAATAAACCAGTAAATGCTCGCAACAACAACATCGCTGCATGCTGTGTTAAGTGGCTTGTGAGAAGTGCGCACAGGGGGTGGCACCACAGCGCTCTAATGTTTCGTGTTACTGATCCCAAATGGCGCGAAAATGTGCAAGCCCCGCAGAATTGACCACGGGCATGTCCGGGTTTTGAAACATCTTTAGCAACTGGTATGATTCAACAGCTATAGCCACATCTGCCACTTCGAATTCCACAGTCACTCGTGTTGTTTGAAAGAAGAAATACCTGGCTATGCACTGCAGTTGTTACTGTTTCAAAAAGCAGCAGGAAATAGTTAACCCAGTTTTTATGCAATCATCTCACTAATTTAGAATTGTTGCTGTCCACCAGCGACAATCTTGTCTGATGGTGATGTGATTGTCAGATTTGTTAGAGTGGAACAAAAGACTGTGTGTGTGTGTGTGTTTGTACTGCAGTGATGGAAGTGCTGCCCCAATCGCTCCACACTGCTCCAAAAGAGAAATGCTGCTCCAAAGCGCAATATTTGCTAGTAACTGCTGCAAACCTGCTCCGAAAAGATGTTGGCAAACTGAAAAGAACAAAGCTGAACCATGGGAATATCCCATGAGCCTAAGCGAAACCAAAAAGCACGCTGTAGGCACTATCATCCTAGTATGCTACGCAGTGGCGTAAATCTAGATAATTCTCAAGGGGGGACACCTATCGGGCCATAGTGTCCAAATAATATTTTAATATGGGTTGTATTTTTATTTATATAGGAATGAAATCATGCTTTCAAATAAAATTAAAAAAAAAAAAAACGAGCATGGGGTCTGAGCTTGAGCAATTGCATTCTTCTATTTAGTTTCCTTTTTTCACCTTTTTTCGATTTCCGTAGTTTACACAGCTGAGGGGCACTTAACACAGGTACGGAGTAAAAGATAAAAAGTCTTTAAAAAAATTATTGTGCCTTACTTAACTGTTAACTCAATTGTATCACATGCTCAAGCTAAATCTTAAGTGGGACACATGCAAGGGGTGTCATCCCTAGCCTGAACAGCAGAAATATTCCAAACTCTCTTAACCCCCCCCCCTCCCCCACTGATTTAAGCTAGCTATACTGCTTGTATACTAGCTGCATACTAGCATATGGTATGTACAATAATAAATGTATATATTTATTAGATGCTTTAGACTTCAGTGATGTTTTAGACTTCAGGAGTCGTTAAAAAGATGCATCTGCTCCAAAAACACCAATAGCAATCCTAAGCTATAGCATCTTTTTCTGCTTCGAAGGTACTCAAGACTGCTCCAAAGCACCATTTTTTTTGCTCCAAATAGCAAAATGTCGCTTCTATCACTGGTACAGTTACAAAAGCTTAGCAAAATTGTCAGCCACATGCACATCAACTGCGGTGTTCTCGAATGAAGAGTTGCCTCATGCTCACTGCTTGTCAAGCTTGCGTCCGTGAGAGCGGAATTGTATATCAAAGGGGTACTGACACGGAAATTTCCAGCTGCCATATGTTTTGCATCAAATGAAAAGCCAAACACACTAGTGCCTAGAAAATGTCCTGGTAAGGATGAGTGCACCCTGGAAACGCAATTCAAGAGTACTTTTAAAAGCTAGTTTCGTATCCTACTGCAACCTGATGCCACAGCATCGTAGAGTTCTTTGCACAAGATACCCAGACATTTCTCCGGAAGCTCTGTTCCTGGCACCAATGAACATGTTCTCAGCTTCTGTTCTGTAGAGCAGTCTCTGTATGGCAGAATAAACTCGCCTTCAAAATTTGTGCCAGTGACCCTCTTGTCTTGGCTTTTTGGCAGTCTTACAAGCCGTAACATTGCGAAATGGTTCTGCAGGTTGGTGAAAGGGAATAAATTTTTATCCATACCATGGCTACACAGTCGAATACAGAACTTCATAGGTGCAGGAAAATTCATGCTCATTTAGGAGAGAACCCTAGATCCATACCTTCCCCAGTTTGTCACTTTAACACCCGGGATAATCAGGAAATAGCAGATTGAACAGATTAGCAGATTGAACAGCCAATTAAGTCAATGAACTAGTTATGAAAGCATATGCTTTCATCTGTGCTCTTCTAAACATCAGGTTATGCAACTGGCAATTTTATTTATTACTGCAGAGAGGAAGGTGAAAAAATCTGATGAAGACCTCAGTGGCACTCTGGAGCAGTTGACAGTGAGCAACACGCCACCATGTGAACGCTTCGCACTGAAGAGCACGAGCCGCCCAAACACCCTGTTGAGGTCTCTACAGGAAAGCAATTTGCAGAGAGCTGGCAAAGCAGACTACGTGGCTGCTCCCAAACGGTCCAACTCGTCGGAGGAGAAGGAGAACAGCATCATGCCAGCAAATGCATAGCACTGCACTTAATCAATGCACACGCTTGCATATATATGTGTGTTGTGCACTTATTTTATCTTCAGGTTACTTTTATTTTCAAGGTTTTAAATGGAAATGACAATATCAGCTACAGTGATCTCATTTCAGCGTGACGACATGTCCTTTTCAAGGGCCCCGTCAGCGTATCCTTTGTGTGCGTGGGTGTGGTTCCTCTGCTTGCTTCCCTTTGGCAGATACCGTCTTGGCGTCCGATGGAAGAAGCTACACTTATGCTGTCTGGGTAGTTCGAGAGTGGCTTGGTTTGTGTCTTTGGCTTCACGTGTTGGATGGATGGATGAGTCGCTTTGCTGAGTGTGGTGTCCATGTATTTTCCAGAGTGATTTTTTTATAACTACTATCAGGATGCTTTGAGCGAGTGCAGGGCCTCCAGTTTTTGCTACATGTTATGCACTGACTGTACAAATATATTGAAAGCACGCTGAATAAAGCATCTTGCACAGTTTGGCTTTATAAACGTCATTTTAACTTTTTTGTGCAGCTGTTTGTTGACAAGGTGCATAAGTGGAAGGGGTCAAATGTAAGAATAGAAATGGAGGTTTAAAAGCACCAGTCTGTGAAATACGAAACCAGTACTGATGTGAATCATAGCACCTCGTTTCATAGTTGCTTCATCGTATATTTCTGTCAATTCCTTTAACTGACAAATGTCAAAACAGGCTGCACTTACGCAATAGAGTGTCATGTGGTTATATTTTTTCTTGTTCCAGATTACCAGTCAATTGAATACACCTAGCATGACAATAATGCGAGAAAATATAAACGTGTGCCAAATTATATTAGTGTAAAGATTATTTTTTACAACACAGCAATTGTTAAAGTGCTCTTAATTATGTATTACACAGATGCTTCTGCATTTAACCCTCTCTAAAAATGGCTTATGTGGCTAGGAATCAGCCTTTTTCGTGATGCCACCCAGGGCACATTGCGTGGATCAGATTTGAGAGAGGAGTTTCGCAGACATCAGCTTGGTGGAATCAAAGTAGATGAAAAAGTAAGTACGAATGAAAAAAGTAGCTTTTATAGACATTTTCACAAAAAAGACAAACACTGCCCGGCTGGGCTACGTGCGAGTACACAGGCAGGTGTTATAGCCTTGGCAGTGCATTTTTGGGGGTTGTGCCTATTTGGCACAGCCCAAAGAGGATTGTGGTAGTGTTCAAGAAGCAGTCTGTGAAACGGTATAGATGCATCCAGAAAAGTGACGCTTTTGTTTTTGTTTTTTTGTTGCAAACAGTTCAGCACATTAGGCCATGCAGTGCGGTTTATTGTGGGCACTGGAATAAAAAAATTGGGCAGATTCCACGTACCTTGGGAAATAATTGACCTTTGATGTTTAGGGCATGCAACACACTAGCCTTAACAGTATAATTAACAGTTAACAGTATAATTTGCTCTAATGCTTATGTTTAGTAGTTGTATCAGGCACACAAAGATTGCAAGCTAAGCTACAGGCTAGACATGGCGGTGGCTTATTTGTTACAATACTGAACTGGCTGGCACAGAAGTTGCCGATTCGATCATGGCATTAGCATTCTCAGCTTAAAGGGACAATAAAGGCAAATAATTTACGTTAGAGTCATCAATGTTTGAGAAAGTCTAAAACGTCTTTATTATCAACAGCACTGCTCCACTTGTAAAAAAATTGGCCCAAATCTACATGTTACACTGTAAATGTCGTCGAAAGATTATAGTCTTGCATCTGGAGAGAGTGACCGAAACGTGTATTTGATGTTCTGTGCAAGAAAATCGGTGAATGGTATTCTGAAGGCGCCGCGTTAGAGTGCCTCAAGCGTGTAACAGAGGCGAACAAGCGCATCTAGGCATGTTAGACAGGAGCGCCATCTGGCAGTTATCTTTGAAAACGAAGGCGTGCACGACCGCGGAAAAAGATGCCCGCCAAACTCTGAGGTGATAAGGTGTAGAATCCAAAGCAACGGGTAGGTGCCATCACCGTGCCGTTGTAGCAAAGCGTTGGAAACACCTTCTTGAGCATTGTGTTGCACTGTCAGCGCAGCGCGTTAAACGCAACAGTCCTTATAGTTATGTGTGTGTGCCTCTTCTAGTACAAAGACAGACATACAAAACATAGACATGTTGTTATGGCACCTCAGATATGTGCAATATTTGCATTTTTAATTGACAATTGCACAACAGTGAACGCTAAACCTTGAGCAATATTGGTGGGCGCGGCGGATGGGGTTGGCCGTTTGGTGCCATTTCAGGCATCGTTAGGGCAGACATACAGACAAATGTACAGACAGACAGACCAAAATGTTTTTGTCGAAGGTCCCCAAGAAAGACTATCTTCTTTAAAAAATTAGGGTAAATGTACAACACCATACGCGCTAAGAGTGTGACATTTTGAAGAGATTTCAATGACATCAAAGGGTTGAACTACAATCAACCACTAGTAATTAAACCAGTTGCAATAAAAAAAGAACCTTACGTGCATTACAACATGTATTAAAAGGCTGCTTCTCCATTTGCATGGTTCATTGAAAAAAAGAACCACTTGGTGTTACCTAGGGGAATGGTGCGATCGATTTAAAAGTTTCATCTTTGCCTGGTTAAATGGTGCCATCTCGCAGGGCCCATTTGAACCAGGTATGCAAAAAAAAAATTTTCATTGCAGAAACATCATGCATTCTACTTCTGGTGTGAACGCGTTGCATCGAGGAAATTGTGAAATGAGTTGTCTTTTCAATGGTTTTTATCCCTCAAAAACTCTAGGCAAATACAAATGTGTTTATGACTGGTTGCACAAAGCATCAAAAGATATCAACACCATCATCTAGTAACCCTGCATTTCTACAGACTTTTGCATACAACCGCTACAGTGGTCCGGTGGCTAAGGCAATCAGCTGCTGATTCGCGGGATTGGATCCCGGTTGTGGCAGCGACATTTTAGATGGAGGGAAAAATGCTTGCGGCCTGTGTGCCTAGATTTAGGTGAACGTTGAAGAACACCAAGTGGTTGAAATTTCTGGAGCCCTCCACTACGGCATCTCTCGTAATCTTATGGTGGTTTTGGGATGTTAAACCTCAACAATACAATTATTAACCTTTTGCGTATGTTTTGTCGTGTTCATCACTAAGACGTTACTTTAAAGCATTTCTTCGGCATGAAAGTAGCGTTATGAGGTTTCTGCATTGCTATTAGAACCCGCAATGACAACTTGATATTTGCCTTAAAGGACCCCTAACATCAAATTAGAAAACTCTAGGTGCTTGTGTTGTTTGACACTCCTGCATGCAGGGCCACCTCTAACCCATTATTAGTGGCGAGCGTTGCCTAGAAGATAATTTAATTTGGTTTCAAAGCTAGCGTACTGCTCCTCGGTATTCAGGTACAATCAACATTTTCTGTGGTTTTTACATAGACCGGGGATTCCCTTGTGACGTTTCAGAGGTCAAGAAGATTTCCAGGGCGCGCACAATACCCGACTGGCACTCAGTGAGGACCATTGTTTGTCACCCCTCTCACTACGACGTCGGGCTGCTCTCGAGGTGGTTTTGGCTGCTTACGCCAGGAGTACTTGTCTTTTTCACGAGGAGGACATGCGCGAAGCCCCCACACTGTTTCGTTCTTCACCGCGCGCTGGTTCCCCTATTTGAAAGCAGCGTGTTTCAGCGTCTGCGAAGCTTGACCGCACGTAGTCTCAGGTGCTGCTCCGCTGTGGGGCACTAGTTTCTTATGGTATTTGGGCGGGCGTTTTGAATTGACGCAAAATTACGCTGCTAGCATTAATTATACAATTCATTAGAGCACTTACGATATCATGTGAGCATTACAGAATGCAAAGCTACAAATTACTGTAAAAATCTCGTTAACAAAACTTTCTCTGTCGGGGGTCCTTTAAGAGTCCCATTCAGGGAGGCAAAATGCTAGATGCACTATGCAATATCACTGCACATTAAAGATCCTCAAGTTATTGTTATCTAAAGCCCTTCATTGTGCTGTACCTCACAATCGCATTCTTGTTTGGTACGTAAAACCACAGCAGTTATTAAGATTCATACTAGGAGCGAAGGAAGGAAGAGTTATGCTAGCTAAGTACCCACGGTACCAATGACAAGTAACACGTACAGGCAAGAGGCACTTTATTATAATTAAGATAAGGCAGGCACCTCAAGTGTCCTCGCTGTCAATGACGAAGTTGAATTTGAACTCATTAGCGGTCTCTGGCCCATTGGGTTGGCTGTCCTTATCTCCTGTCGTCACTTTCCTCAGGAAGACAGACTTTGTCTCGGCAGAAGGTTGAGGCTGCAACCTAGTCTTCCTGGTAGAGTCTGCAAAGTCACAGTGGCAGGTGTAAAACAGAAGGGTAGTGGTTAGGGTTAGTTGGTACTTCATGATAAGTGGAGGTAAAGCGTGAAGAAACAGGCAACGTAGACGATAGCAGAGAGCCTTTTGTCCGCTTTCGTTCGCGTCGTCCATTTCTTCGCTCTTTGTCATGTGTCATGTAACACAGAGTTTCCTATAAATACGTTGGAGGAAACTTTTACCGCTAGTGTCTGTGGAAGCTGCAATGCACGGCACTTCAGCCAGCACGGGAATGATGGGTAGCACACATGTTTGTCTAATCTTCGTAATTTCGGCTACGTTTGACTTCGCGTGGCTTGAAGCTGCTTTGTCACGAAACCACAATTAGCAAATGTTCGGCAGATGCACTTGACCACCTTAACCTTTTAGGCTCACCAATTCAAATCGACTCTCGAAGTTCACAACGGTCTATTCTTTTACTCAAAACAAAACCAAGACACTACAATAAACAAAGCCACAAGTGCGCCTGAAGCCCACAAACAAAGACTGCACAATTTTGCATACTACCCATCACTCCCATGATGGCTGAATGATTGCAGTGGCAGTCCTCTCTAGTTAATTTGAGGAAACTCTATCATGTAACTAACATCAGTGAGGGTTAGCTGGCAGCTTTGCAGTTGTAGAACAACCGAATTGGCTGATGTGCCAGTAACAGCAACATGATTTATATGCTTGCTTGCAATGAAAATATGCCGAGTGGATCAGTTGATTTCACTGCAACAGCAGCACATGTAAATGGAGACTCAAGACGAAGCTGGGAGTAAATGAACCAGTGCATCCATTTACAGTGTGTTGTTATCGTGCCAAGCTCCAACCAACTTGATCTGCCATGTGAAGGGTAATTCTTGATAGAGTCACAGGGCTGACAAGGTAAAACAGAATAGAAATATGGGTAATAATGTTACTCGACAGTGGGAAACAGGGCTGCTTAAATCTGTAGTCGAATTACACATACCAAATAAAGCGTGACTGCAGCGCATGTGCAGGCAACAGATTATGACTATAATGATGCTCCTGGGATAAATAGCACCTACCCACCTAGGTGCATTGGCCAAGAGACAGACCTGTAGTATTCACATGCGCTGCAGTCACATTCGAAATGTAAAATCAACTAGCCCACAACCAAACCTTGGTTGCTCAGAACAAGCGAGCGATTAACAATGCAATGTAGGTTTACATATATCGGACAATATGGAGGCGGAAATGTTGCAGGCCCGTGTACTCAGATTTGGGTGCACGTTAAAGAACCCCAGGTGGTCAAAATTTCCGGAACCCTCCACTACGGCGTCTCTCATAATCAAATGGTGGTTTTGGGACGTTAAACTCCACAAATCAATCAATATATCGGACAATGGTCAATATTCCCCCCCCCCCCTTTTTTTTTTCTGGTGTAACAGGCCTGCTTGCATGAATATGAGTCACTTCAAGGTGTTTTACAGCGTTGTCCACAAAGATAATGTTTTTTTTCTTTAACTATGTAGGTGCGCCTAGACGCGCAGCAGCTCGGCTACATAAATCGAATATAAACTTTCTCAGGCTATTTGATTTCTTTAGCTTAGAATCAACGTGTCCAATGACGGTTCATTGGACACATTCAGTGCAGTTCATGTAGAACAGTAACGACGCGCGAAAGTACCTGTGATGAACTTCGCCTTCTCTTGTTCCATCTTCGCCCTGTAGTTCCCAAGCGTAACGCTCATCACCTGCCTTTTCTTCGCGACGGGCGCTTTGACGCTTTGGAGCGTTTGGAGAGCTCGAAGTTCTTCATTGTCTGACAAAAAATAACAAGGGAAGGGGATGGGTAGATTGCTTGCATCAACTCTTTTTCCAAAGATCGGCAAATGTAGCACCTTACAGTTTTTCTTCTTAGCGTCGGCGTGGGAGAGTGAAATGTTGAGTTGCTCAATGCACCACTTCAGCTCTCGCTCGAACTTTTCGTTGGCGTCCTGCGGTAAAAAAGAAGGTGTTCAGTCCCATGGGGTTTGTAACATTACACTTAATGAACGGACCTCATCATCACTATGATCTCCCGAGCTCAGTGAAGTAGAAGGCTGAGGTACTGGCAGCTTCTGCTGGAAACCAAGGTAAACATTGAGCGTACACATCTCAACGCGGGTAATTACTTTACACTACGATTTTACAAAAGTACTACCTGCACAGGTAACCTCCTTCGATTCATCAAGGAGGTTGCTATAAACCTACGAAAAAGTTCAGGTAAACGCACGACAACTACAAAAAGCAGTGACAGACAACAGTTCGCGTTTCTCGATACAGGAAAACGTGTGTGTTTACAAGCGCACGAAACTATTGTGTTAAAAACAACTCGATGGGCGCCGCCATACTGCGTGTTGCCAGATTGATCTTTACACCCAGACTAGATCACAAACTAGGCTTTAACATATTGATGGTTCGTGGCCACAATTTGCAAAATATTTGGGTCACCATGGTTGTTTTAAGTTATGCTAGAGTGCATTCGGTACGTTTTAGTACAGTTTAGCTAATAACTAAAATGACACAATGAAGCGTACTTTGTGCTTGTTTCGGTTTCGTTATTAGGCAGGAAACAAATGCGTACGTTCTTTTTTCGCATCTTATGCTAGAAAAACAAAGCCCGGAAATATAGCTTTTGCGTCGTACTTCACTACGTTTTTCTTCCTCTTTTTTTCAATGAGGTGTGCTCCATCACTCGCAAACATGCTTGTAAACCTCGACCTCTTTCGCAGCGTATCGTTTTGAATAAACAAGTCGAGAAAACCTTAGTTCCTGTCCTGTCTAATGATCTATCTATACGGTGTACTAGAATGATTTTCACGGTCGAACTCAAGTCGTTCTACCCACGAGGCGAGTCATTTTACCGATCTGTTCGTTCGAGTCACACATTTGATTGCGATCGGCCAAATCCGCATCGAGCTCCTTTACGCAGGCGACAGGAGGGATCAATCGACGGCTGAGAAGTGTGACAATACCTGAGACCGAACGATATTTATAGCGCGAGATCAAAACGACGACACAGAGACAAGGACATGTGTCCTTCTTGTCTCTGCGTCGTCGTTTTGTTCTCGCGCTAAATAACTATCGTCATGCCATACCAACTAGCCCAAGCTTCCACACTTCTAAGCAGAACGGACCCCATCAATCACTCTTGAGAATTGTGACCCGTGCGACCGAGGTTATCGTAGTCAACGGTGAGCCGTGTGACGCCGACATAAATTTCCTTCACTTGAAGGTACGATTCCCTTCGAGTTGCTAGAAAGTAATTTCAATAAAACTTTTCAAAAATTAGGTCCCACCGAGATTTGAACTCGGATCGCTGGATTCAGAGTCCAGAGTGCTAACCATTACACCATGGGACCTGTTTCTCCGATGCCGGGAATCGAACCCGAGCCTCCTGGGTGAAAGCCAGGTATCCTAGCCACTAGACCACATCGGAAGATGGTTGAACTGGTGTTATTACGTCATGAAAGTTTAGCCTAACCGTTTTTATATCTGTGCGCTTCTATATTTTGTCATTTTACACTATTTTTGCAGCTCCAAACCGTAATGTAGGCGTTTATTTTTAACCTTGCTGCTTTATTCATTGAGAAATAAACGCCAGCGAAAGGCCTAAACAAAGTAGGCGCCCGCTTAGTACGCGCATTTGCTAACAGATGGCGGCACGCCCGAAACCTGGGCAAAAGCTCAAAACTTCATTGCCCTTTTCTCGCGATGGTCGTGTGGTCGTGCGCGTTGTTTTGTGGTGCGTGTGTGCTGCTCAGGACTTGATGAGTGAACATGTGACGAACGGCATGCCATAACAGTGAGTATAAGTTCTCCACCGCTGGCGATGGCTGGCGGCTTTGCCGACGCAGCTGTTGTAAAAACTTCGCTCCGTGCCGCCGCACCAGTTTTGTTATTCTACCCGCTTCAAGGTTGCGCCGAATAATGTTGAAGTATATTACGTGTTGTTCCGGAGAATGCTATATCGAAAGAGAATCGTTCTTAGCAGTGTACCCCTGCTGTTGCCGTTCAGCACCACCTGTTTAGTATCACGGCGGCAGCTTTGTTACCTTCGCGCGCTCCTGAAACTACAGAGTAGGCAAGCCGTCGCCAATTTTGGACTCGCGGCAAGATTGTTGCAAGGGGCCAACGTGGTTTTGTTAGTACATTGTGAACTGTCACCATCGGTGCGCCAAGACCTCAAGCGACGTTGCTTGTTGATTGTGAACATCCATTCGTTGATTGCGTAGCGTGTTAAGTCGAAAATATGCAGCCGTGGTGAGCGATGCCGCAGTTACGAAATGGAGAAGAAATATGCAAGTGATTATGGGGTTCTTACCTTGTAGTTCATCACGTAGCGCTCGCCCATATGGCGTTCGTGTTGGAAGGATGCATGTTTGTTTACATAACGTGCATGTCGCGAGAGCTCGCGCCATCGTTTGCGCTTCGCTGGCTTGTGACAATAGAAAGCCGGATATGTTAACCCGTTTCCTTACCGTCATTGAGGTACTTTGGATAGAATTAAAAAAAAAAAGCGCGAATTGTGCTTTTCACCGTGCGACATTCCGCGTGAGTACGAATGTATCGTGCATCAGATGCAATCTTGAAAGGAAGCCGCATTTTAGGTCGAGTTAAGTAAAACGTCTTTGCTGGAGCGATTTCCGGATTTGCCGATTGTGCTGACGGACAACATGCCTATAGGTCGGCATGTAGTACTTGCTTATTTTATTATGTCAACCTGCTGTAGAAAAGTTAAAAGTTGTGTAAATCGTGATGTTGAAGGCGAAGTTATGCACTGCCTGCTACGCAGCCTTAACTGTCGTTTGGTGGTGTCGTCCTTCACAAAACAGCTGGCACACATTGAAAGGATCCCAACTGCCCCTACGGAAGCTCGCCGACTTTCGTCGCTAGCTTATGTTGGATTGCTGTGTATTTCGTTGAAACCAAACAAATAGAAGTTTTTATTTTCACACGAGAGGGAAAAATAAAAATGTTGCTGGTTTTACTGCCGGCTGCCGGACGTTCTGATTGATTGCGATGTACGTTTAGCAGTTCTGGTGACCCAGATTTGTCCGGAGCCCTCCACTTGTGTTACCCCTGTGACGTCAGACGTGTTTAAAGCATATGGTCAAGTTAAAACAAATGTACACATTTATATAGTGGTTCATTCGAACGTTGCTTTTAACCGAAGTGTCAACTTTACACTGTATTCAAAAGCTATGCGTACGCGAATTATACCCGGGCTATTCAGCCGTATGCAAATTACGCCGATCATAAATAATTTATGTCATGCACAGACTCAAAGGTCTGCTCGATAAGTTCGCATATGTAATACGGTGCTGCGAGTTCTGGCTTTAAAATGAGATGAACGTCTTACATCTACAGAGGTGAGAGAGATCACTCCTGTAAATTTATGAATACAAGATCGTTCATTTTTCTCCTAACTCGAAAGTGACAATTGAGGTCGACGCGTGTTTTGACTCGGTAATTTCAAAGTGTGTGTGTGCGTGCGTGCGTGCGTGTGTGTGTGCGTGCGTGTGTGTGTGTGTGTGTGTTCAGCTTTGCGTAATGCCCTTCCCGAGTCAATTTCTATTTCCCTCTAAATTCCTAACTGGAGGTTTGGTTTATTTTCTGTTTTTCTTTCGTTTTTTTTTTTTTGCAGCTTCCCCCCCTTTTGTTCTCTTCTCATGGCTCTCACCTTTTCTTCCCTCTCGTCTTCACTTTCTCTACGTCCCCCCTTCCCGAAAGACAGGCCAGGCTGTTGGCCAGGCAGGGGTGTTTCCTCCCTCATTTCCTCTGTCTTTTGTGCATGGACAGACCGAGCTACAGCTGTATTGAGTATTGAGTCTCTAGGAATGATAACTTAATTCTGTGTCCGGGAGCGCTCCGTAAATAGTGCTTGGGCAGTTACGGGAAGGCATGCGTAACAAACAGGTAGCATTTGTGCAATCCAGTACCGCAATTAACCTCCTGTCATGTAGCTTTCGCGCAGTTGGGTGGCACGGTTCAAATACAATTATGTTTGCATTTAGACGTAAACAAAAAAAGGGGGGGGGGGGGGGCAGAAGATGTTGACTTGACTTATATCATTTTTAAAGATGCTTGTCTAGTGCGTAACTTTGTGAAAGTTTGCTAGGTAGCTCAGACGACATTTATTTTTATTTAGAACAGCACTAACGCAAAAATTTTGCACCATGTTTTTTTTTTTTCCTTGTGGCAATATGTAGCTTATGACTTGCTTAAGACGGCTGCAAACCTAGTTTGCGGAAGTGCGCGATGATTAGGTATTTAGAGACGTGTTTACGCACCCAGGCGCAGTTTCGAATTCAGAGAACACTGGGCTAGGCAGGAGCATTTCCGGTGGCTAGGTAGACACAACTGGCCTCGTGACCACGCATAACTGTGACGTAAACGCCGCGCTGACCAACCAACACAAACTCGTGACGTAGGTTTGTTTACATTGACACCGCCATGATGTCGGCGTCGTGAGGTGTGCGGCATACACATTAAAATTGATTTTAATTACAACTAGGCTGTATTTACCATTGATATTTCGTAGATCTTGGGATTCAGAAATAAGTCTCCAGAATTGGATTCAGAATAAGTCTCCAGGTTTCTGCTCTTGGGAGCAGAAACCTGGAGACTTACAAAGAGGGTTCAGCTTAAATTGAGGGCGACGCAGAGAGCAATGGAAAGAAAAATGGTAGGTGTAACCTTATGAGACAAGAAGAGAGCAGAGCGGATTAGGGAACAAACGGGGGTTAAGGATATCATAGTTGAAATCAAGAAGAAGAAATGGACATGGGCCGGGCATGTAGCGCGTAGACAGGATAACCGCTGGTCGTTAAGGGTAACTAAATGGATTCCCAGAGAAGGCAAGCGAGTTGGGGGGAGGCAGAAGGTTAGCTGGGCAGATGAGATTAAGAAGTTTGCGGGTATAAATTGGCAGCAGCAAGCACAGGACCGGGTTAACTGGCGGAACATGGGAGAGGCCTTTGTCCTGCAGTGGACGTAGTCAGGCTGATGATGATGAGATCTTGGGAATTTCTCATTAATCTATTTCACTCAATATCTCGCCTTTGAAATTTTTTGCCACTGCTCAGTAAAAGGAGTGCTGACATGAAATTCAAATAATTTTTGCTTGTTGCTTTATATAAAAAAGTCCGAGTGTTGAAAATCCTAAAAAGATTCCTTATTGCTTTAAAATGCATTCTATACATTTTTAGTGTCGCTACCTTGAAATGGCAATTTTGGTTTCGGTATCGAGCTTCGTAGTGACGTGCCAACACAATTCTGACGTCACAGACAGACCGTAATGCGCGAAATAGTAGCACCAGCTCCGTCGTTTGCTGTCACTGGCATGTGGCTCCCGTAAACAACGATCACTGAATCGTCCATATACTCCAACATCCATTTCTGCGATTTAAACCGCATGCAGATTGCAAGACATCGCGCATCCAGTGACTGTGTTAAGAAGTCATGGTAATGTTCATCGCCGTGCCGGGCTGGCTTGAAGATACAGGGAGACAGAAAAACTTTAAAATTGTGTAGTGGAGCATACGCACCAACGCGTATGCGCCTTCGGAAGACAACGAAAAGCACCGTGCTCTGCTTGCGCGAGAGTTTGTGCCGCCTTTGCCAGACTTGCCGTACGCCCACTTTCCGTCGCGACCTCGTTGCGACTTCTCTGCTCGAGTAAACGTCATCACATTTGGTGGAGGCTGCTGAGATCCCCAAGCAGGCCTGGAGCTCCGCTCTCGCACGTTACCTGAAAGACTGCCGCGAAACATGACTGACGCAGTCGCCAACCAGCCCGTCCCAGCCCAGCCAGCACCATCGGCTGCCCCGTCTACCTGCCCCGGCGCTACTCGCCAGCGGGACCCACCAATCTTCAGCGGAAGTGGTGAGCATACGCACCAACGCGTATGCTCCACTACAATTGTATTAAGATGTCTTATACGTGTTGTCTGGCTCCGGTGTGTGGAGAGCGCTTATAGTGCGTGTAATGGAAACGAAGAAAAAAAATGTCCCAAGACTGAAACTCGGGTCAGTTGGTCTTACTTTATATTGGAACGGCCGCGCAATCAATCACACATGGACCGAGTTAAGAAGGTACTCGGTCCGTCTGTGCATGGTTGCGCAGCCGTTCCAATACGAAGGATGTCCCTCTTGGAGTGAGTCGTGTCGGTGCTCCAGAGGGACTGCCAACCTAAATAAAAGCCATCTCTGTCCCCCCCACACATAGTTTACACGAATGTCCATCCGATAGCACTCACTCATTTTCATGACGTTACGCACTTATAGTGCTTATAGTGTTTCACATAGTTCACTTTTCCCATGCATAACACAAGTTTGTGCCGCAGGTTATGGGTCGGAAACTTGAACGTATTGGCAACATTTTTTCATGGATTCTGACATCGCTGCTCAGCCGAACATAATGTTTATGTAGTGCCGGCACGCCTTTTAACTCTTACTGTGCGTTGTATTTACATTAGCGAAAAAAAAAAAGCAACTACCGGTGCTTCGAGTGAGAACAAGGAATTACAACTATCCATCATACGTGTGGCGGAGCTTACATTTATTCCTATTGCGTAACAGGCTATAGTCGGTTACAACCTTAGAATAAATACAAGCTCCGTTCCCAGTACTGCAGCACGACTGTCATTCATTTTTAAAACAGAACAGTGAATGCTGATTTCTGTTCTAACCATAAGCACATCTTCTCTGATTTGTGGGGTTTAAGGTCCCAAAACCACCATATGATTATGAGAGACGCCGTAGTGGAGGACTCCGGAAATTTTGACCACCTGGGGTTCTTTA